AAAGAGGAAAGTAGTTTCAGTGTAGCTGATGTTACCTCTTGTAGTGCTTTGTTTTCAGAAAAAGGAAGTTTGAAACATGACTTTATAGTTTTTGCATGTCTCAACCATTCTAATTTCTTAAGCTAAAATTAAAAAACAAAAAAAGTTATTTGCTTAACTCTACCAAGTTCTGTGATTGAATTTGTATTGTGTGGTTTCCTTTGGTGGCCACATTTAAAGACAGTGACCTCTCCAGAGAGAAGCGTTCCCACGAACCTCCCCTCTGTGAAGCGAGCTGACATCTCCACAGCTGAGACATGGAGGAAGCGAGTGGGCTCTGTGCGAGGAGCTCCTCTCCGTGGGCAAGGCTGTCACGGGTCGAAGGCAGAGACTGCAGGGCCCTTGACCCAGGAGGAAGGGTGTCCCGGTGAGATTAATCGTCTTGTGCCAGAGGGTGGTGTGGCTTTGCTCTGTTCCTCCTTATAAGAAGGTTCCGAGGTGCAGTGGATGTTGTGGCAGTACCAGAGAAGAGGAGCAGCGGTCCCTTTCGTGGAACAAGCGTAGCTGTTGTCTTGCAGACAAATGAGCGTGGCTTTAGAAAGGGCAGAAGGAATAGCGAGAGTCTAGACAGGAAACACAGCATAGGTCAGGATTTCAGCAAGAAGGGGGGTAAGAATATTCTAGGAAATATTGCTGTGGAAGAGCTCAATATCCTCATTAACTTCCAACAAGCTCAGTGAAGTACTAAGAAAAATGACATTAACTGTTCTTGCCAACTTTGAAGTTAAACAAATATTGCAGGTGAGGAATAAATCGAGTAGATTAATTTGCTTCTCTTGCCATGATAGCTGGTCATCTTTTCCTACCTTCTAAAAAGACACGGTGACACATGGGGACCCTCTTGGGCTGAAGATTTAGAGCGAGGGAGGGAGGAGACAGAAAGAGAAGCCACGAGGAGTACCACCCTGTAGAAGCAAAGCTGGCCTGATGTTCCCGGGTGCTTTGGAGATGGAGCACCACCAAGGCACTCTTTATCCTTCGAGGTATGGGAAGAATGGAAACTGCTGGCTTCATAGGAAATGTTCCTACTTTTAGCAGCAGATTTGAGCTTGGTGTTTTGTATAAATCTCTCAATATTTTTAAGTGGACTTGGATAATATTTACATAGTGAAAGTGAAGGAGATTTTTGCTTCCGTTAATCTGAAGAGTAAACCTTCCTACCGTTGTCATCTTAGTGGAAAGCTCAACTGCACTTAAACATACTTCTCCCAGTATGTAATCGGTTGAAGAAACACACCAGCGAGGTAATCGGTGGTTACATGTCATTCTGGGAGGGCATCTGTAAGCCAGTTCACAGAGGTTTCTCCTCAAACAGATTCCACTTGGCAAAGTCCTTTATGATTTTCATACTGGGATGCAGAGAATGCGGGCTGAGTCTGCGGCTGATGCCCTTCCAGTCAGGTAGGGTTCAGGCTCCGGAAAGAAAGGGTTGGCAATTCCAGTAGTGTGGACACGGGAGAAATATCTGGCAGACAGATGTGGCTTTGAAAGGATGGGTGCAAAGTGTTCTGCTGAGGTGGAAATAATTGTCTGTGCAGGTACGAGAAGATGAAAAATGGGGTGCAGGAGCGTGTTGGCAGGAAGGGAAATGATTGTTGGAGTGGGTGAAACAACAAGTGCTGTCTGTCGTGGAAGAAAGATTAACTTGTGGAGATACAAAACCACACAAAGTGTGTGAACTTTGATACTTCTGAGGCCTCGCTGGGCTGTTGTGTCCTGTTTTGGATCCTTTTCAGGGTAGGTATGGTCTAACTGGAGAGTAGAGCCTAATGTGAGTGGTCAGAGATCTAAGAAGTTTGCTGATGACACCAAACTGGGAGGTGTGGTAGACACACCAGAAGGCTGTGCTGCCATTCAGCGTGACCTGGATAGGCTGGAAAGCTGGGCAGAGAGGAACCTGATGAGGTTCAACAAAGGCAAATGCAGGGTCCTGCACCTGGGGAGGAACAACCCCATGCATCAGTACAGGCTTGGGG